ATCGCCAAAGAAGCTATATTATTCCTTCTATATCGCTCCGAAGCCATGGCTTGAAAGAACTTTGATGGCTCATCTCCGAATTGGACCCATCTAATTGTACATCTCTTTTTCCAGTAGAGTTGTTGATATCTTAGCAATCTCAGTATGTGAGTCTTTAGTATTCGACGAAAGTTGGCTTCAGGTACGGTCAGAGCACATTTTTTTTTCAATTCATCAATCTCACAAAGGGCTTTATTAGAGTTTTCAATGGCCACCGATAACTTAGATATACCATTGCTCCAGTGTTTGAGGTCTTGTCTTAGGGTCTTTAGTTTTCGGCATAGAATAGTGGCAGAATTCATGGATTTGACTGATTTGGCCCAAGAGGTCTCAACAATATTCAGGGTGTTGAACCCAAAAGGACTCAAGCAAAATAATTTGGATTTTGAATGTTTGTTTCAATAGTAACAACACAAGGGATATGGTCTGAGACAGGTTTACCTAGCGGTTTGACCAGGGTTTTAGGATATGAGAGAGTCCAATTAGAGCTTGCTAAGAACCAGTCAAGTTGTTCAAGTAGAGGGTCTAATTGCATATTGTTCCAAGTGAAAGGACGCCCTTTGATAGGTAACTCAACTAAGCTTTGAGATCGGATGATGTGCTACGGATAGAGAAAGGCCTCATCACCTCAAAAAATCCAGGATACCCTCTCTATGTGGTTAACGTGTCGCGACAATTGTCGTACGTCGACACATTCCCCACGGAGAAGTTCTTCCTTCGATTCGTTTACATCTTTGACATGCTTAACTTGAAGAAGCTAGATTTTACCTTTGTCCGCCTTTATGCCTTGCACATGAACTACCTCATCGGGGTTGAGCAGATACCTTATATATGTGTTGCTGACCCGTACTTCATGCACGAGAGCTTCTTGGCAGTCTGTGCAAAGCACTGTGAATACGCGAGGGACTACCTCGTCAATTTCATGCTTGCCAATAAGGACAAGGAGGCGATTCTCATGCCTTATCATCCCTTGTAAGTCATCAAATGCAGAGTCTACTTGGTGACATCAATCGCATCAGAAATCTTTCTACCAAAAATGCGTTTGTCGCTCATGAAGCCAATAGGCATGCTTGGAAGAGCCTCACTCTACTGTGCTCTGAAGAAGACCTTGATGCCGATGGCTTCAAGGAAACTTTCAAGTTTGGCTCCAAGCCCCCATCCAATGAGAAGTGGCGTGCTACGCCATCCATTGAAGACTCGGACTACTCTTCTTCTGCGCCTATTGTACACGTGCAACTGCTTGTTGAAGAAGATGATGCCACTTCTCTAGCAACAACTTCACTGCATCGCGACACTGCATCAGGCCCTTCTGCACCACCGAACTCCGACATCGACCCGGCTACACCAACATCTTCAACACTGTCTTTCGGGAACGCTTAGACACCATATGTGTCTTCACACCTTTTTGGTCATTCGATGACAAAAGGGGGAGAAGCATATGGGTTGATAGTCTTCAAGCGGGGACTTTTGGGTCAGGTATGCTATATTTTGTTAATTTTGCAACGCTCGTTTTTAAACATTTGGTATTTAGGTTGTAAACTTAAGTCCTGATGGACGTCTGCTACATTTGCTGTTGTTTCTTGTTGCGCACTACAAAACTTTGACCTTATGCGCATGAAGTCATATCGCAGACACCCATATGTAATTAGTGCATTTCATTATCTTCAGAGTATTATCTGTATGCACATTGACTTCATGAAAAGAGGGAGATCTCCACAAAGTACAACCTGGCATGTGCATTTGCATTCAAACGCAAATTACATATATGCACATCTTCAGGGAGAGCCCCTACCACTTCATGAAGCCAATCACTTTGTACCTTATCTTCACATGTTTTATCCCCGTTGAAAACTTCAACCATTTGTCATCAATCACCAAAAAGAGGGAGAATATAAATGCATCTAGTGCCACCCCTAGTTGGTTTTGGAGTATTGACGACAAATTTGGTTGAAAGACTAATGTGTTTGTGAGATTCACAGGAGAACACAGGTAGAAGTCCCTATTGATTTGGTTTACCCATCGAAAATGAGCCCTAAAAATGTATGAAGACATTGGTAGTTCGTGAAGACATTCTTGTCGAAGATAATGACACGTGAAGTCATTCATCTGAAGTCAATGGAGGGCGAAGACATAGTTTTTTTTTAGTTTCATTTTCTTCTTTCCTGAGTTGTACGAACCACCGAACTATTAAATGGGGTTAAAGTAAAAGTAATTTTAATTGATAAAAGTAATTTTAATCAAAGAAGTAAATTTAGTTGTTGCGGACTTGTAGTGACGCAAGCTTGGCAGTGGCCACTACGAGTTCAATCTCCGGATTACCATAAGCAGAGACTAGGTTTTTTTTTTTTTGAGAAACACATGTAACTTTATTCATATTCATAACAACTACATGATTTGAATCTAAGATCTAAAAAAATACAGAGAAAATCTCTTGTAAACACCTTCTTCGCGATATCAATTTTTGCTCGAAAAAATACTCCAAAGACTTTGATAAAGAGGCTGCAACTAGACTGAAGCAACAATATTGTCACTCTTTCACCCGCACGAACATTACCAATAATGATTTCTGAAAGCGTCTTAAGTCGCCCATCTAGAAAGATGGGAAGCATTGATCGATGAACGTACTTGGGCCGGGGATGATCCCGTAGAAGTGCAGGCCGTTGAGTCACTATATCTTCACCATGGTGTCGATGAAAATTTTCACCTCCACAAAGAATCAAACCAACAAAAAGAAGGTTGACACAGCAACATAAACTCAACAAAAACTCTCTAACGCCATGGCACTGCCAAAAGAAGAAGAAAATTTATTCTCACAAAACTGTGATGATCACAAAGTATTGACCAAGAATATAAAGGTCGTAGAGATCCGAGGTCACACCACCTTCAAAAAAAAGAAAAAGAATTATCATGTGGGTAAAAAATTGAGGGAAGGTGTGAGAGGCTGAGTCGGTCTCTCTGGCCTTAAATCTGGTGGTGAGATAAAAATCCGTTCTTTGTCCCGTGCCTTCCCGATCCGATTGGAGTCTCTGCTCTGCTCTGGAGTTGATCAATGGCGGATAGATACCGAGCAGGAGCAGGGGCAGGGGAGGGGAAGCAGATGGAGGATCGGGCCAAGAGGGCGGTGGAGTGGGCAGCCGCCGAGAGGAGCGCCAAGAAGCCCTGCTGCCACCGCAACCCAAGCGGCGGCGGCGGCGGCGGCGTGCCGGAGATCTCCTCCCTCCTCTCCTCGCTCTCCGTCGCCAAGCGCCGCTCCCCGGCCGCCCACGACCACGACCACGCCCCCCTCGGCAAGCGGCCCCGTTACGACCACCACCATGACCTCGACGCCCGGATGCGAGGTACTACCCACCACGAAACCCCGATCCGATTCCGATCAGTCGCCGCGGCATCACCCCATGGCTCTGCATCTGCTGCTGCTGCTGCAGGACTGGAGATCAGCTGCGACACGACGGAAGCCATCGAGGAGCAGGAGGAGGAAGGGCCGGACTGGGCGGGCTTCCTGCCGGAGCTGCTGGGCCTCGTCTGCGGCCGGCTCCCTCTCGCCGACGTGCCCCGGTTCGGCGCCGTCTGCAGGAGCTGGCGGTCGTGCGCGTTCCCGGTGTACCCGGCCGACGCCGCGCCCGTGCTGCTCAGCGCCACGCTCACCGCCGCCGGCGCCGTCCGCTGCTACAGCCCCCACCTGCACAGGACCTTCCTCCTCGCCGCGCCTCCCCTGCCCCAAGGCGGCAGGCTCTTCTCCGCGGGCGCCGGCGGGTGGGTCATGCTCAGCACGCCCAGCACCACCGTCGTGCTCGCCAACCTCCTGGACGGGTCCGTGCACGAGACGCCCAAGCGGGAGGACGGCGACCAGGGGTTCATGTGCTCCGCGCCGCGCCACCACGGCCACGACAATGGCCGCAACAACAACAACAACAACAACAACAACAATGGCTGCTGCTTTGACGTGTTCGCCGTCCGCGCCTTCTTGGGCACCATCAGGGTCGAGAGCTGGGGCGGCGCCGGCAGCGTCTGGAAGAGCGTGGAGGAGCAGAGCTCCTTCAGAATGTCCTGCTGCTGCAGCCCGGTGATGCACAAGGGGATGCTCTACTGCCTTGGACAGGAGGGCGCTCTAGGGGTCTACGATCCCGGCCAGGCGACGTGGAGTGCGCTCCCAAAGCCCGCCGGCTTTGCCCCGGAGCTCGCCTACAAGAACTGCCACCTCGTCGGCTCGCGGTCGGAGCTGCTCGCCGTGCTGACGGGCAGCAACGGAGCTCCGCCCATCTACGTGCTGAGGCTCGACGAGGCCAAGATGGCATGGAAGAGGGTCAAGTCATTGGACGGCCGCTCCCTTTTCACGGGGACGACCTCGTCGGTGGCGGTGGCAAAGCCGGTTGCCGAATCCATGGCCGACAAGGTGTACCTTCCCAGGCTCTATGGCCGGCCGCAGGTGATCCAGGCGGAGCTCGCCGCCTCGGATGGCCGCCTCTTCTTCGTTGTAAAAGCCAAGGCGGCATAGCAGGAGCAACAGGGATCGGTTACGGCGTCGGGCGGCCCCTGGTGCTACGACATGGAGTCGGACTCCGGCGGGCAATTCCTGGGCTCCAAGACCCTGCTGCAGTCCTTTTGGGTTCATCTCGGCCACGCCGAGCCGCCCTCGCCCTCGTCCTCGCCGGATGATGATGATGATGATGATGATGATGACGATGACGACGACGACGACGACGACGATGGAATGGTTATAGACTGACCGGCATCCATCCATGAAACTGGTCTTGCCATGTACAGTAGAATAAGATTGTATTATACTTATCCTTGAAATAAAAAAGAAATAGTAGATTGTATTATAATTATTACATATATGATGATGATATTAAGAATTTTTGAACTAGATTCATTCTACTTACTAGAGCATGTCTAGGATGACGGGAGTTGTTCTAACAAGTAATCTTATTGTTGCAATATGAATGGAGAATTGAACTAATCTATGATGATGATGATGATGATGATGATGATGATGATGATGATGATGATGATGATGATGATGATGTTGTTGTTGTTGTTGATGAATTGTCGTCGTTGTCGTCGTCGTCGAAGCGGAGGTGGAGCGGGACGCCGGGGGTGGGCTCGACGACCTTTGCGTCGGGGAGCGCGTGGGCGAGCATGGCCCTGAAGGCCTGGATGGTGCCCCGGGTGGAGACGAGGGCGGCGAGGATCCCCTTGGCGTCGAACTCGCCGTTGCTCATGGGCACGACGTAGCCGGGGCGGAGCAGCCTGGCGAGCTCCACGGCGTCCTCCTGCCCGGAGACGAGGGTGAAGTCGGCCGGGAGGAGCTGCTTGACGACGGGCGTGATGAGCACGTCGGCGCGCGCCGCCCTGCCCCGCAGGAACCCGGCGTCGTACACGCAGTGCGGCTCGTAGTAGACGCTGGTGCTTCTGCCCCCGGCGGCGGCGGCGGCGGCGGTGACGATGTAGCCGTTCTCGGGGCGCTGCCACGGCGGGCCGAGCACGGGGCCGGCGGTGGCGAGCACGGTGACTGCGGCGGCGGCGGCGGTGGACTGGCCGGGCTCGAGGTAGGTGACGTGGGCGAAGGGGAGGGCGGAGAGGATGGGGCGCGCGTTGGGCGTGGCGACGACGGGGAGGCCCGGGCGGACGGCGGCGAGCTGGGTGAGGGTGCGGAGGTGGCAGTGGTCGTCGAGGCTCTGGGTGATGAGCAGCAGGTCGACGCCGGCGAGGAGGCCGGCGTCTGGCTGGGAGTTGGGGTTGGGGAGGGTCTTCTTGGCGGCGTCGAAGAGCCATGGGATGCCGAAGTCGAGGTTGCCGACGAGGATGGGGTCGACGAGGACGCGGAAGCCGCCGGGCAGCTCCCACAGCCAGCCGTTGAACTCGAGGTAGGTGAGCTTCACCGCCGCCGGAGACGTGGTGGTGGAGTCGTCGCCGCCGCCGCCGCCGCCGCTGCTGCTGCTTGTGATTCTGCTGGTGGCGCGGTGGGCCGGCGGTGGCCGGCGGTGAGATAACCACCGTCGTTGGGAGACGATGGAGGGAGGGAGGAGGTTGGGGAGGAGGCCGGGCATGGGCATGGCCATGGCTGCTCTCTCTCTGGATCCACTTTGGTTGGTTGGTGCAGCCAAGGCCACTTGTGCGCCCTCCAACTGCTCATTTCTTTCTTTCTTTCTTTCTTTCTTTCTTTCTTTCTTGTCTCTAACACAAAAATGCATCAACAAAACAAAATTGCTTTGTCAAATCAAACGTTTTCATGGCAATTTTATTTAAGGCAAATTTGCACCTACAACTTATTTAGATGATCTCATTCACTTATCATTTATAAAAACAACAAGATACAACCCACGTCAGTTTTAGCACACACGCATCTTATAGCATCACATCCAATGGCTATAAAAGGTGCAAAATTGTTTATTTAAATTTACATAGACACGAGAATGGCAAATTTAGTTTGGCGATTTCCGGCTAGAAAAATAAAAAGAAATGAACTTGCCATCCTCGGCGAGCATAGCTTATTGAGATGTCTCTATTTTTAGCTTAGCTCTCATGGAGATGCCTGCATTTTAGCAGGAATGTACTATAATGAGAGGCGATTTTTTTTAAAAAAAAAACTAGATAGTGGTAGATTTTGATGAAAAACATGCATGGTACAAGAGACGAGCAACATAATCATCATCATGACTAGTTTAGCAGTCAGATAAGATGCTACTACTGTACAACATTACATTACATGATTAAGGAGGAAATTCATTCATTCATTCATTCACCATCCACCAAAACAAAACAAACAAACGCGCTACAATCGATGCTGCAGTAATTAAAACTAAAATTAAGCAAGCAGATGCTCCTGCCTGCTGCTGACCACCAATGAAAATATACACATGAATGGGATGGGGTGGGGGTTGGGTTGGGTTGGGTTGGGTTGGGTTGGTGTCAGCAACAAGAATCAGGTCTGGATAAATATGACCTACTAGTTACTAGCAAGCCCGCCGGCAGCCATGGCTACCGCTACGCCACCGTTCGCCCGTAGCAGATCCCGGCGAGGTAGAGGTTCTTGGCCCACTTGTCCTGCAACATTTTCATTCCAACTCAAGTCAGCAAAAGCTCTCCAATCCATAACAACTTGCTGCTTTACTAGGGAGGGAGGGAAGGAGGGTTCAAGCATGCATGCCTTGACATGCGCGCTGGGGAACTGCGACGTGCGCAGGGTCTCCTGCGTCTCGTCCCGAGGCCGGCGCCTCGGCATGCTCAGGATCAGGGCCGACTGGTCCACGGTCGCCGCCATCGCCGTGATCCGGTACCCGTTGTCCCACCGCCGGTGGACGCCCTCGCTCGGGTACAGAAAGTCCAGCTCCACCACCTGCCACCACACCAGTTACGACGTTTTACAAACTCAACTCCCAAGACCACCAGCAAGACAGGCGGCGGCATCTTACACGCCAACTCGGGGAACCATGATTTGTAGAAACCAACAGTGGCGGCGTGTGAAAGGAAATATCGAGCGAAAAAAATGCTTCAAAAAGAATGATGAAACCATAATCTCACCTGGTCGGTGAACCCAGCGTTGCGCGACATGACTATGGCCCATCGGCTGCCTGATGTCGCCATCGACGTCACGTAGAAGCCTTCCTTCCACTTCTTGTTTATCCATTTAAACGGGAAGGAATCGCTCACCTTGTAGGACTGCTGCGTGTATGGTGTGCCTGCCAATCATCACATGATATACCACAACATATTACAGCATCAGCTAAGCAGTTACATATATAATAAATATAATAAATAAAAAGAATCATGAACAGGGGCTCCCATCAAAAGATGGCGACTGCAATCTGGTAAGCAGAGAAAATATCACAGATGACTGATCCTGCTGTTTGAATACCAGCGGATTTGGAGCAGCGACTTCGCTCTCCTCTCCAGGTTTACTTCTTAGTTGCTGATTCACACGGATGTGCTACATTGCAAGACAACTAGACTCGCCACGAGCGAGAGACATGCTTACATATGCGACAGATAGGGAAAAGACAGAAAGTAAAGACTATATGTAACACAAAAGATATGCATACCTTTGGACATCACTACAAGAGAGCTTCCGATATTGGCGCCAGCAACAGAACTGATGTAGAAATTTTTCTCCCATTGTTCCATAATCCAGTCCTGTTTTTTTTTTTTTTTTTTTTGGGTTAAAATGAGTGCAAATGAGGAGAATTAAGTTACACGAGGGACAGATGGGACCTTGTGAAGGAAATGTGGAGACAGCTCATAGACTTGATCCGTGAAGCCAGTTCCAGCATCCATGATGATTGCCCAAAGATCAACACATGATGATATTGAGCTTATCAGCAGACCATCCTCATTTCCTTTCTCCACGTGTGGCGCTAACCTATTGTCAGCCACATTATAGTGGTACCTATCAAGGGTAAAAGTTAATCAGCCTGTATACAAATAAACTCGTACATAAAAAAGATGATGATGCAAACAATGAAGGAGAATCCTGTAGATTGTCAGCGTATTTTGGTTCCCAGCAAAGATTGTAAAGTTTCCTTCATTTATACTATACTTGAGTTCTCCTAACAGATTATAAACTACAGGCAACGCTGCAAATGGGAATATATGGGATGTGGCGCATGAGCTTCACAGGTCTCGGTGGAAAGGTAACTTTTTACCGTATTGCTATGCGTAAGAGGGCATTACAATACATCATATCAGGGAAGGATCACCACACCCCGGGCCTACACGACAGGCAAATTGCCTGTCTTATCATAGTTGGATCATAAAAGAAAAAGTCTTATGTGAGGCATTTTTTGCCAACACAAAGGACTGTGCATAACTGACCGTGGCTAACAACAACATGTGTATACAGAAGCCAGTATGAGCCTAAGATGTAAGCACAATGTGCTGGAAAGTATGCGGGACGCAAGTTCCATGAATACATCTAAAGTAAGTCTGTGAGTTGCTTTATAATTCAAATAATTAGGGTAAACCCTCAAAGCTGAACTTTAACCAGTAGATAACTGTCAAAAGAAATCCTAATATGATCCTGTGGGTTTCACTAAAACAAAGCAGCAAAGCAAACACTATGAACTCCGCGCATCATGCAACAAAGAGTGCAGAAGGAAATCATGGGCCTTTTTCAGTTCAAGAATAGAGGAGAAGAGATAGCTTGAGAATCAGAACCGTACCTCTGTTTCATGGGTGATCTAGAATTATACACTGAAATCCACTGTGTTGCTGGAACACCCAGGCGAATCTTCTTTCTTGCATTGCTATCGTCGTCGTCATTAAGCAGCCTAGAACGCTTCTGCCCTACCTGCAGGGAATGAAAGAGTTTAGTAACACATGCAGTGTTTTCAGGTTCACTTGATAACTCCAAATCATGCGCAATGCCCTAACACGAACCTTTTGGGCTCCATCGGTATTGATTGGTCTGATGGAAGGGTTTGGTCCAATTAGAACATCGAACAAAGAAATCAACTTGGAGTAGTTTGGTTCCTCATCAAACTTCATGTTGACTACAGTCTCAAGAAATAGCTTAAAAGGTTGAGGACAGAGGCCGCAAAGGATATCAGGTGAGGTACTCATCTTTCTCTTGCACACCAGAAATGATTTATTATCACCCTGCAAACACACACACACACACACACACACACACACACACAATATCTATATGAGATTCTCAAACAGATATGCTACAAAATGATGGTGAATGGGCACAAAAACTAAATAGATTAGACAATACGGTACCTGGTATCCTTGCCATGGCAACCTGCCTCGATGGAGAAATACTAGTGTATAAGCCAGTGATTCCAAGTCATCTCTCCTGCTTGCAGTTCTTCCTAAATGCGCATGGGCACTAGCATACCTGACTGTTCCTCTACATCAGGAAGGCAAGATTTAGAACATCTGCAGATATATAAGATCGTAGAGAACTAACAAATTTAAGGCATGGCAGACCTGAAGGCATCCGGACGTTGATCATAATCAACATGCTGTTGAGTAGCAGGATCTTTCCACTTTGTTGCTGCCAAATGCAAAAAAATAAATCTTACATGACCCAAATTTCCAGACACAAAGCAACATGGAACACTGAAGGTCTAAAGCAGTCAAGATTATCAAGTTTGGGTCATCTAAACTACCAGTACACTAGCAACAGTATTCTACCAGAACACTCGGAGTCGGAACTTTCACCGCTGCAGTGTAAACTAACAAGTAGCAAGAATATGGTGGATGAAGAGGTTTGCTTACCTAATCCAAGATCTACAAGAAAAAGTTTCTTTTCTTGAGGAGTTCCAGGCTGACCGAGAAGAAAATTCTCAGGTTTGACGTCTCCATGTACATATCTGAAAGAAACTTATAGAAGCATCATGAGAAAAGAGGGAGAATGGCTAATGGATCAAACATAGCTAACCTTCGGATGCCTGCTTACCCTTTAGAATGCATGCTTTCCAGGATAGAAATGGCCTCTGCAGCAATACAAGCTACCATTTCTGATGACATGCTGAAAGTTTTCGACACAAGTTAGAAAACCAGGAAGTAACAAACTACACTGCAAAATTTAGGAATAGGTGCAGGATGAAAAAAAAATCATCGAGCGTGAAAAATAAAATAGTCAAGACTCGGCCCTTCAACTACACCGTTCTCACGTAGATATGTAAATTCTAACCAAATTTTTTCTTCACATGCAACAAAAGAGCTTGTTAGTGTGAGAACAATGTAATGGGTGCAGGAAAAATGATAATTTCTGCTTCAAACATGTTAGATACAGGAATACAGCACAAACAACTGTTATATTTATAAACAGAAAATGTATGGTATATGAAGCAAGTAGACATCCATAACAGTGTGGTTGTATGTTGAGAAAGAGAAGCAGCTAGTAAACAGCTTCCTCGATTAGATAGAAGCAGATAAAAATAAAAGGAAGTCGGCCTAAGCCGTTAGGAAGACTAGTAAGAGAAGAAAGAAACTCACGTCTGCCCTGCTGAATTCCAGGAATCCCACAAGCTAGGCCCCAGCATATCCATGATCTGCAGTTTCACAAGAGGGATAAAACAAAACGTTCTGGTCCTTGCAAGAGGGTAACGCGTCATCCAGCAAAAATGTCGGGAACGGACAATAATTCATACCATGACATAGTAGTCACCCTGCCGGCCTTTATAATGCACCTTGGGCACACCATGAGTACCTCCAAGAGCACTGGTATATATATAACGTCATGACAAAGATGATGACGCGAAGCAGGAAGTTGTGACAAGGAACGCTGACAGAATAGAGACTTACGAATAGACATGCCACTCGTATGGAGGGCCGTAGTTGCAGCCCTTGCTGGTGTTGTGCTCGAATTTGATTGCAACCTACAAATACAAGTAAAAAGGGAGTTATCTTTAAGCAGAACCAAAACTCTCTCTCTCTCTCTTTTTTTTGTTTTGCAAAACATATGAATGAATGAGAAAAAAGCACAAACAAAGAAACAGAGAGAGAGAGAGATAGAGGGATTGGTACCTCGTGAGCACCGGCGCCGCGGCCGTTGCCACCGGTTAGGCGGCGGCCGACAAAGACGTGGCCAAAGCCGCCTTTGCCGAGCTTCCTCTCGACCCTGTACTCGGGAGATCCTCCTATCTGGACCTGATTGATGACAAGGGCAAACGAGAGGCAGTGGTGAGTTAATCGGCATTCATCGCTCGCTCGCACATCTAATCTAAGGCATTTTTTTTCATTTTGTAATCACAAATCAAGATAAGACCAAGCACTGAATGTTGCATATGTTTTCATTTGTAATCAAGATAAGACCTTTCAAAGTAAAAGTCCTTTCTTTGGTGAAGTGAAGAGAAGTGAAGTGAAGCAAAGTAAATCAAGGAGGGGTGGGTTGAAATTGATTGGGATTGGCGCATCCCTCCCCTTGTGTTGGCTGCTTGCTCTCAGATCTGCTGAGAGACGGCCTCCTCCTCTCGTGTGTGCGGTAGTGGATAAGGGGATGCATTCGTGTTGAGCTCCATCAATGGAAGGGAAGGGAAGGGAGAGGGAGGGAGGGAGGGAGGTACCGTCTCGGGGAACGGGGCGGTGTTGCCCTCCTCGTCGTCGTTGCCGGCGGCGGCGTTGTTGGCGCTGACCCCGCCGCTGTCCGCCATCCCCCACCCCTCCTTGCCTGCTCGCTTTCTTGCTTGCTGTAGCCTCTAGGGAGGGAGGGAGGGCGGCGGCGATGGCGATGGCTGCACTGGTGGTGGCCGGTCGGTCACGCGACGGGGCGATCCGGCGACCGGCGCTTTAGGTGTTTCTGTCTCTGGCTCTGGCTAGGGTTTGCTTGGTTTGCCTCCCCGCCGCGGCGATATTTTCCCCTCCTCTTCTCTTCTCTTCTTCTTCTTCTTCTTCTTCTTCTTCTTCACTTCTCCTTTTTCTCCCCCAAAAGAACTAGTAAGAGTAACACAACTAGTGAGTTGCCAGGTCCAAGCTGATAATAATAATAATAGGAAAGAAAAGAAACTCGACTACAAATATATATATATATATATATATATATATATATATATATATAATTAATAGGAATATATATAGAAAAAGGAAACGAGCCTTAGGGCTCAAGAAAAGGTCGTCGCTTTTCGACCCGCCTCGGCAACGGGCTGTTTGACCGGGTTTGACCCATGGTGTGGCGGCGTGTTTTGTTTTCGAGGAGACCGGGCCGCGGTTCCTTTCGCTGAGACTCACGCATTCGCTTTCTCGGGGGCGTCGTCTCGAAGCTGCGGTGCCGCCTTTCTTAGGGGGGGGGACGCTGGGGCCGTGTCTGAGGTGGAACATCTCTTCTCCGACGCTGAACCATACTGTGTTCGGCACTGGTGATATTCGATTGTGATGTGTGGGTGATACCGTCTTGATAAGGGTCAACGCATGGCGTCACAATCCCGTGTGAAAGTGCATTTACCTCTAAATGATTATTTTTTTGGTGTGATGGCAATATAATTATTAGTGGAACTAATGGCAGTCGTCCAGATTTATCTCAGTTCATCTTTTTCCTAGGATGCTTATTATGGAGAGGACTGCCCCACCCAAAAAGAAAAGAAAAAAGACGTGGTTTTCTTGTGACTCGAAGGTTCTATTTTGATTTTATTTGTGTTGTAGAGAAATCGCACTATCAATAAGAGGCAAGGTGGAAGAATAACAGTGTGGAAACACCATAAAATTATATACTTGCCTTCCTACACCTATCACCGGAAAGGGGGCTTCTTTGCCATCATTTCCATACCCTCATTGTACCGATAGGAAATGCTCAAAGTATATGGACACCCCGTGCGCACCCCGGAGGATCTAGACACCATGTGTGCTTACCTAGCACGGGGTGTCAGGCTAGTTCCTTACTCTCTGGACATCTCGTGCCCACGGGGGACTACATATGCCTCTAGACACCCCGTACCCATGGAGTCTTTGACCCCGTGCGCACGGCATAGTATTTTCATCTCTACCAGGAGGAGCCGAACCGGTTCAAAAAACCTGTGCAAACTCCCCTATGATACTTTCGTCTACACTCTCCACCCTACCGATGGCACTGGCGGTTTTTTGTACCGTCAACAACAACAAATTTTTCATTGATTATTAGAAAGTTTGGACTACTGGAATATAATGGTGTGCCTAAACAATTCCTAAAGTGAGATAAACAATCATTTATATCGAATGCAAGGTCAAGTGACCAAAGTAAACCACAAGTAAAATGGTAGGGTTAGGGATATCCAAAGACTTCGGAGAAAAGGATGTATCATAATGTTTACTTCTTTGGTGGGAAGCTAGTCAACGTTAGAGGATGAGTTGATGGGAATCATTGTCTAGAAAACAAAAAAATTATCTACGAATTCACCCAAGATCCAATCTACTAGATGCTAGTAACGAGTGTGAGAGTGTCTACGTACCCTTGTAGACAGAAAGCAGAAATGTTCTAATGAACGTGGTTGCGTAGTCATACTTTCTTTGTGATGGAATCCAAGCCAGCACCGCACGAACGACACTTCCGATATATGCACACATACGGCCCAGTGATATCTCCCTGATACGTCCATTTTGCATCGTGTTTTCATACTATTATTTATAATGATTTTGGTCATTATTCCATTTTATGATGCAATTCTAATGTCTTTTCTCTCTTAATTTGCAAGATCTACATGGAGAGGGAAATTACCGACAGCTGGATTCTGAACCTAAAAGAGCTACAACAGATATAACTATTCTACGGAGCTCCAAATGACCTAAAACTTCATGGAGATTTTTATTGAATATATAAAAAATAACAGAACAAAGAAATACCAGAGGGGGGCCACCTGCTGATCACAAGGCAACAGGGCGCGGCCACCCCCCTGGGCGTGCCCTAATGCCTTGTGGGGCCCACAACAGCCGTCTGATGCCCATCTTTTGCTATATGAATGGTTTTGCCCTAGATAAATAAAGAGAGGACTTTTGGGGCAAAGCGCCGCCATCTCGAGGCGAAACCTGGACAGGAGCACTTTTGCTCTCTGGCGAAGCAATTACACCGGGAAAACTTCCCTCCGGGAGGGGATATCGAAGCCATCGACATCACCAACGCCCCTCTCATCATGGGAGGACTAATCTTCACCAACACCATCTCATCTTGTCAAGGGGATAAACCCCGGGCAGGCAACGGAATCCGGATCCTTTTCAAAACAACGGGGCCAGTATCGCCCCTCAAGCCGGCACGCGCCTGGCCGGGTCGCTCGACCCGGCCAAACCCCGTGACCTGGCCAAACTCTCCGACCCAGCAAGACGCGTCGACTCGGCCCCAACAACCGGCGCAAGGCGGCCGAACCCGGCATGACCAAGGCTCCCCCGACAAGCCAACTCCACCTGTGGCATGCTCCGCAATCCAACCACGGGTCAGCTCCCGTCCCATCCAGGCCGTACGATGGGACGAGACTTCAATCACCAATGACCGAGGCAACAGTGCCCTTGCCCTCGCCGCTGACGACAGCAAGCGGCGACCTGACGGGGCGCCACTGTACACGACTCGACTCTGAAGGAAATATGCCCTAGAGGCAATGATAAAGTTATTATTTATTTCCTTATTTCATGATAAATGTTTATTATTCATGCTAGAATTGTATTAACCGGAAACATAATACATGTGTGAATACATAGACAAATATAATGTCACTAGTATGCCTCTACTTGACTAGCTCATTAATCAAAGATGGTTATGTTTCCTAACCATAGACATGAGTTGATATTTGATTAACGGGATCACATCATTAGGAGAATGATGTGATTGACTTGACCCATTCCGTTATCTTAGCACTTGATCGTTTAGTATGTTGCTACTGCTTTCTTCATGACTTATACATGTTCCTATGACTATGAGATTATGCAACTCCCGTTTACCGGAGGAACACTTTGTGTGCTACCAAACGTCACAACATAACTGGGTGATTATAAAGGTACTCTACAGGTGTCTCCGAAGGTACATGTTGAGTTGGCGTATTTCGAGATTGATTTGTCACTCCGATTGTCGGAGAGGTATCTCTGGGCCCTCTCGGTAATGCACATCATTATAAGCCTTGCAAGCAATGTGACTAATGAGTTAGTTGCGGGATGATGCATTACGTAACGAGTAAAGAGACTTGCCGGTAATGAGATTGAACTAGGTATTGAGATACCGACGATCGAATCTCGGGCAAGTAACATACCGATGACAAAGGGAACAACATATGTTGTTATGCGGTTTGACCGATAAAAGATCTTCGTAGAATATATGGGAGCCAATATGAGCATCCAGGTTCCGCTATTGGTTATTGACCGGAAACGTGTCTCGGTCATGTCTACATAGTTCTCGAACCCGTAGGGTCCGCATGCTTAAGGTTTTGATGACAGTTATATTATGAGTTTATGTGTTTTGCTGTACCGAAGGAGTTCGGAGTCCCGGATGAGATCGGGGACATGACGAGGAGTCTCGAAATGGTTGAGACGTAAAGGTCGATATATTGGACGACTATATTCGGACTTCGGAAAGGTTCCGAGTGATTTGGGTATTTTTCGGAGTACCGGAGAGTTACGGGAATTGGCCGGGGAGTATATGGGCCTTATTGGGCCATATGGGAATAGAGGAAAGAGGCCGAAAGGAAGGAGGCGCGCAGCCCCCCTCTGGTCCGAATTGGACAAGGGTGCAGCCCCCTTTTCCTTCCTCCTCTCCCCCTCTTTCCTTCTCTCCTACTCCAACAAGGGAAGGAGGAGTCCTACTCCCGGCCGCCCCCCCCCCCCTTGATCCTTTATATACGAGGGCAGGGGCACCTCTAGACACAACAATTGATCTCTGGATCTCTTAGTCGTGTGCGGTGCCCCCCTCCACCATAGTCCTCCTCGATAATATTGTAGCGGTGCTTAGGCGAAGCCCTGCGATGGTAGAACATCAAGATCGTCACCACACCGTCGTGCTGACGGAACTCTCCCTCGACACTCGACTGGATCAGAGTTCGAGGGACGTCATCGAGCTGAACGTGTGCTACAACTCAAAGGTGTCGTAGTTTCGGTGCTTGATCGGTCGGGCCGTGAAGACGTACGACTACATCAACCGCATTGTTCTAACGCTTCCGCTTTCAGTCTACGAGGGTACGTAGACAACACTCTTCCCCCTCATTGCTATGCATCACCATGATCTTGCGTGTGTGTAGGATTTTTTTTGAAATTACTACGTTCCCCAACAGTGGCATCCGAGCCTGGTTTTATGCGTAGATGTTATATGCATGAGTAGAACACAAGTGAGTTGTGGGCGATACAAGTCATACTGCTTACCAGCATGTCATACTTTGGTTCGGCGGCATTGTTGGATTAAGCGGCCCAGGCCGACATTACGCGTACGCTTACGCGAGACTGGTTCTACCGACGTGCTTTGCACACAGGTGGCTGGCGGGTGTCAGTTTCTCCAACTTTAGTTGAACCGAGTGTGGCTACGCCCGGTCCTTGCGAAGGTTAAAACAACACTAACTTGACGAATTATCATTGTGGTTTTGATGCGTAGGTAAGAACGGTTCTTGCTCAGCCCGTAGCAGGCATGTAAAATTTGCAACAACAAAGTAGAGGACGTCTAACTTGTTTTTGCAGGGCATGTTGTGATGTGATATGGTCAAGACGTGATGATATA